TCAATTGCAGGATTTCATCGCTGCCACAACACCTGTACCAGTGCGGCTTCCGCGGATGGGGAATTCACAACTGCGGCCACACTGAGGTGGGTGGGTGGGTGGGTGGGTGGGTTCAATGTGCCCGCGGCAAGTTTCAGTGACAGCGGACAGCGAGCGAGCTCAGTGCGTGCATACATGTCCTGCCAGCGTCCATTAGCACCGTTCGTTGTTAATTGAATTGTTGTTCGCTTGGGGGTTTTAGGGTTTTTCGTCCGTAAAATTTGGATCGTCTGTAATAAAGAGATATCGTGCCCAGGTTTAATACTATTAAAAAAACCAGTAGTTAGGTACGGTCCTTATTTATTATACCAGGGCACGACCGATGTATCGTTTACAAAACTTAACAGACGCTAATAAATACGTATACGTAGGTGCAGCAGCATTAGGCAAGTAGAAATACATTTTCTGTACATACGTATGCATGTGTGTATCTATGTATGATGTGGATGTACATCCGCATGTTGTTAGCATTAATTAGCCAAACAGCTAGATGTTGCGTGCTCTGTTGCTGCACTATCTACTGCACGCAGGACGTCGGCGTCAAGTGCCATTGTAAGTGCCGGATGTACGATTACCTGCCCCGCCGCCGCACCCCACTGGGGGTGAGGGGCGTGGCATGTACGGTGGCGGTCGGTGCAGTGGGCCCTCTTCGTTCAGTGATGCCGATTTTTGTGGAAACGTGTGCGGTGGAAGCTTCCGGAATTTGGGAAGGATAGCTCGATAGCGCCGCCTGCTGCAGCCTGCAGCCCGCTCACCCAACCTGCACCGCTCCCCCGCTGCACAACCAAGCAGAGCAACACACGAAGCCATCTAGGATAAGCGGTAGGACTGAGCAATTATGAAAGCTACACTCATACGCACATACCTGGCGCCCGCCGATAGACATACACCCATCCATCTATCCGTCGGCCCCCCCCCACCATGGCCAGCTACGCCACGCTGCTGCCCCTCGCTCGCTCTATCTATCTATCTATCTATCTATCTATCTATCTATCTATCTATCTATCTATCTATGCATGCCCCTCTCTGTTTGGTACATTTGGCACATGCAGCGTCTTGGCCACAGGAGAGGTACCTGTATGAAGGGCAATATTTCCGGTCGCCGAGGGCTTCTCACTCGCTGTGGATGCAAACCGACGGGAACCTCGTCATATACCGAGCGACTGACGGCGCCCCAGCTGTTTGGGCGTCGCTCAGCTGGCAGAGCCCCATCTATGGCATTCCCGGCCCGTACAAGATGGTACTACAGGTACGTACGTACGAACGCTAACAGGATAACAAGTCATAATACTTCGGCTTGGCGAGAGACACGGTGGTGTGCACGCTGCTTCATTTTACTGCTTTTGGTTATTTGTCGTCCACAGCGGGGCAATAATCCGTCTGTCTATAAAATTCTGATAGAATTTTCGGAAACTTTTTAGATATGCGGAATTCTATCAGACACAGCAGCCTGGTATATATGCACAGCAATTCGCAGCAGTAGTACAACCAGCACAGTAGCACAGCAGTTCGCAGCAGTAGTAGTACACACAAGCATACACGTATGCGTGCAGCACTTTGCATGTTTGGCCATCTAATCTGAGCTGTTTATATATATCCGCAATACGCTTAAATGTATGTACTCAATAATTGCAGGCGGATGGGAACTTGGTGGTGCTGAGCGGGGCCAATGGCATCCTCTGGACCGCAAGTGCGGCGAGCTCGAGGCCCGCTGGGCCGTACACTGTACGGCTAACGGACATAGGGCAAATTGAATTAGTGGCTGCAGATGGGACTGTTTACTGGAGAAGCTTGGTACCGACTGGATGATTAGCGAGAGCACGCAGACACGCATATTTATGGGGCTTTGCATTAGTCCGTGCCTCATTTGCGGCGCAATGCATTCATTATTCACGAAATCCACCACCACCACCATAACCATTATTACAACCCTCGCTCGCCCTCACACTTGCTGGCTTCTCGTGAGAATCTGCGATTGCAGATGTACGAACACAGACATTCAACGATCTAATTTCACCTTATGATGGCCTCTGAGTTGAACGAAGGTGCCGATAGTAGCTAGCTGGAGTAGCTACTATAGTGTCACGCTATATATGCATACACCGCCGGCGTGCTATGCACGCTTGGGTGCAAGCTTTGCCCGCGGCATATATACGTACGTACATACATACGTACATAGCGACAGGCAGTTCCGCATGCATGTATGTCTTCCGTCGTGGAAATGTACCTTCGAAGGGGCGGCGCCGTCCCCGATGCACACAAGCACTACTGCTGTATTTGGGAGACACCAAATATATAATGTAGGGAATTGTTTGTTCGTTGCTTAGGAGGCAAACAAGGTTCACCATGTTATCTGTGGTCCTTGCGTGCATTCCATAGATTTTTTCACTATAGTAAGTAACACATATCCATAGCTATGGATATGTAGCTTCATAGACTTTGAAGCGGGTTTTACGTACGGTCATAAGTTTCTTGCACTTTCGGAAAGCTTGCGCGCACTACTTGTTACTTTTACATCATTTCAGCTGTTGCGAAACTAAATAGAATGGTTCATACGTGTGTGCACATATATATGCCACATGTTTTGTCTACACGCATTGATCGGCCTCACTGGCGTGGACCGGCAGTCAGGAGCGCGCGGACCTGCCTTCGGGGCGCGCGGCAGGTTTACTGACCCGGGGCCGCCGGTTGCACCGCTCTTTGTTGGGTCCGTCTGCCAATGGAGTGTGGTAGCATACGTGCGTACGGCATTGACAAGATAATCGTTCATCGTCTCGTTCGTTTCTAGCTCCAAGATCCTCTGCCTATTGTTTGTGGCTTGTTATCTGTTAGGATAATAAGGATACATATATATGTATATATGTGTATATATATTATAATAATGATAATAATAATGATAATCAAGTAGCTACTTTCTCCCTCGCGATTGAGGAAAGCGATCGGCGGAAAAGCGATAGATGGGCTCGCCTACAGTCTCCTATGTCTCCTTGCCTAATCAGGCCAAGTCATATGTCCGTGTCCGGCGTGCGTCGGCATGCGTGCTAGTTTATTTTGCAAGCGAGGTCTCTCTCTCATACATCCCGTTAATCGTTTTCGACTAGCTGCGGATCCCAGCCGGTTTGGCCGCATGCATGACGTCGGCTCTAGATAGCATGCATGTCTTCGTTGTCAGTTTCACTTACCTAGATGCTATAGATTTCGTGATATATGTAAAGTAAGCCATGTCCATCTCGCTCGACAGCAGCAGCTAATGACGCATGTTGACCGGCATTGATGCCCGGCGTTGGTAATGAGCTGCCATTGTATTACTACTACTTGTGAAAAATGCACATCAGACATCGGCAACGCTTCGGGAGTTTCGGGTCGTACCGAAACTCCCGAAAACAGAAATAGAGTTCCCGAAGCCGCCGGCTTGCAGAAATAGGATCATACGCCGTATTCGAATGTCAAATTATTGCAAAAACGCATTTTCATTCCGCGGCCTTGTAACAGAAATTGTACTGGCGGACAGAAGTAGACACGTTCCCGAAACCAGAAATACCCCGTTTGCCGATGCCTGATGCACATCCCTGCGATGCCTGTATTACAGTTACAGTTACAGTGTCCGCATAAGTGCAGTCAAAGCCGGGGGCCCCCCATGGACCGACCGTAAGTGAAGTGGGCGGTGTCGGGGGCGACTATCACCATCCTCCTGGCCCCGGAGAGAAAGCCGGCCCGGCCTCGGAGAGAAAGCTAGCTGGTGCACCGGTCATGATGGTGCGCATGTTGCGCCCTTGAAACCCGAGTTCACTGCCATACTCAGCCCTCAGGCCATCATAAGCGAGGCATTCCTAAACACATGCAGTTCGACTTCAACCGCTCCGCAGTCACAAAGCCTGCAGGTACAGGCGGCACGCTCACGGTCGTTGGGCCTTTTAACCTTCAATGTTTGAATTTGTGTTTTTATGCGTGTACCCATACATATGGCATAGGCAGGCGGCTGGCAGAGGCTAAGGCCTGACTTCTGCTCCCGGCCGACCCGGGTTCAAAACCGCCTGCCGGCTCCTTGGGTGTTTGAGGAGTGTTGAAATGGGTGGTGAGCCCCCATCATGTGGACGATGTAGGACGTGATAATATCAACTTGCGAGCTGACCAGGAACTAAGTTGATGCGCCGTTGATCCGGTAGATTTGGTTGGATGCTGGTGGTGGGTTGCCGAACCCAACGAATTACATTCTGAAGTCGGATGGGGTGACGGATTAGGGTGCCCCTCTAGCAGGGGAGAGCAGGGACTGCCTCGGGAAAGGGGGCCGCTGGCGAAGTTAACCACCCTGTAACGACATATGTAAGTTATCCGTACGTGCAACCGTAGTCGCACCCTACCCCACCCAATATTTGTAATAGCGCCTCATGATAGCTGATCAGGTGGGGATCAGGTGTGTATTTATCGCCGTCTGCCGAACATACTCTTAGTTCGGGACAGAGCAATCTACCCGAAGTAGTAGAAGCTGCTGTATATGTCGGGTAATAACAAATGTACGGCATACATATCATCCTACACGCTAAGGCGCTCTGCTGCTAGCATCTTAAGAGGTCTCTCCAGCGGCGACCAGCAATTGCAAACGTGCTTTCCACTACTTGCCCGCTCACTCGAGGTGCTGTCAACGTCACCATTGACCGCCTATCCTCTCAGTCTCAATGCCGGCGGGAAGCCTGAGACCCGTCGTGGTGTCGTGTGGCGGCCAACCCCGCCAAGAGACCGACCACATCCCCTTGTTCGACCTTCCTCCGGGCAACTCGGGCAATTATCCGGAGCTTATTCCTGGAGCCCAACGGAAGCGCTACACCGGCATTACCTCACTTGAGCGAAAGCTAGCAGATGGGTGACCCTGTGATGAACTTATTATTAGCAACTTGTGTTCCGCCACAGGAACGCGTCCTAGCGCTAGGACGGCTTTCGGTGATATGATGAAGTGTTCGGGTGCAGATGACCACCGAGGATTGCGGTGGTGGAGGGATGAGTGTGCGTGTGCTTGGAAGGGTATGATGGACTTCTGTCGAGAGGTTCGGGAGAGTGTCAACAGATGGTGGATGCTAAGTTGCGGCCTACATTTACTTTGCCCCAGGATATTTGTATATGTACAAATATCATCTGTAGATGAGAGAGCGAGAGAGATATGCCTGTGCAACTATTGTCTGGTGCATAAGACATGTACAATGGTTGCACAGGCATCTCTTATCAAGTATGGAGCATTATTCCTATTCAGAATGCCCTAAAGTCTTGTCATCACTAATATCACAAACAATATTGTTAATACTTTAACTATAATTGGTTTATCATGTCCAATCTCTTTGCTGGCGTCCACATTGAAGTAGCAGCCACCATCAGTTGCACCAGACACGAACCTGCAGGCTCAACCTTGCAAGGTGACGTGACAATTTCACGAAACCGGTCTTCGTCACAGATTAGAGGGCCTGGTGGAGGAGGATGACTAGTACTAACACGGCTGGTGTTGACACTGGCCACACTGGTGGTCATACTAGTACTGCAGGTGGCAAAATTGATCCAAGTAATGGTGCACCTCCTGCACACCCGCACGCGCGGGTGCAGTGCGCGCACTTGCAGTGCTGCTGCTGATCCTGCTGCTCTGTAACCTTGTTATTGTTGTTGTGGTACGTGCCCGACATGGTACGTGACGGAGGTGAAGTCCGGGAGAAGATGCTGTGCCCTGTGCTAAAACTTAATAAAACTAGCAGCTACTACAAAGCTGAAGCTCTACTGAGTGAAAGGCAGAATGCTTGTAATGAAATAGAGGAATGTATAAAATACTCACCACTCGATAACAGCTGTACAACAGTCACACCGAACCCAGACGTAAAGGCTCCGATCACTACACGCCATCACATAGAAACGTCAACCATCATTGTCAAGTCATCTTCTTCCCACCTACTGGCAAACGCATGTAACCCTCGAGCACGCACCATCGGTGCCCAAGACGCTTTGACCATCCCAAACTATGGCCAACGGCAGTCCGTCGTACCAATCGATGTCCGTTGTGTCCGTTGCAGCACGAGCATATTCTTCTCGCAGTCTTTATGTACCATCTTCCACATTAAGGCGCTACTAGTCCATCGGTAGGATATTTGCCTTCCAAGCAAAAGAGCGGGGTTCGACTCCCCGGTAGCGCAGTTACGTCAACTCTTTACGTCATCTTCAATATATTATATCGGTGCTAGAATGTATATAGTGTAAATGTGGCGGCATATGATCAGGAGGTAGTTTCGCCAGAGATTGACTGCTAATTAGCCTCATCATCCCTTCTTTTGCTGTCCTTACAAGAAGTCTGCTTGGGCATGAGCAGCAAGACAGAGCAGCTGGTGGCGCCACCTTTGCTTATAGGCGTGCATGCTAAGTTCGCGTTGTTGTCCTAGAGCTGCATGTGTATGCAAACACAAAGACAAACGTCCACGGCCTTTAACGCCCCACTGCAGTCATTGACATTTATCATGGAATGGCGCTTCAACTGCAGAGACCTTCTAGATTCCTCTGTGCGCGCTGCCGACACCGTTTACTCCCACCAGCCCTGGAACAGCACTGACGACCCCGAAACTGACCAGCTCCGAAACCAGCAAACACCGGCCCGTCCGCGCTGTTGAGAGTGCTGAGAGTGCCATACTCTACCGCTGGGCAAACGTATCGTATCCACATCACCACCAGGGGTGTTACCACATCGCTGCAAGTAGTGCAACGGAGACGGCTCCCCTGGAGGGCTGAATGTGGTACTGGGGTCCACAGCACTGCTGCTGCCTGCACTGCACTGCTACAGCTGCACGGTGACACTAGGACACCGCTCACCCAACAACTTCATGCACCGTTGGGACGCCGTTGGGTCACTCTTTACTCACCCACCCAAAGAAGCACCACACATGCTTGCACCCCAAAAGAACACAAAGCATTCCGTAGTCGTAGGGACACACCCCGCGCACCTGCCGGCAGCGATACGTGCCCCAAGAGCCATCAGGATCACTACCTCAACCACCCCCCAATCGAGGCCCCACACGGGTAAACCGGTTGCTTTTTTCGTCTTGGCAGCTGCGACACGGCCGCGAAAGAGACCCCGCACAGCGGCCGGGGTGTTAAGAAGCGGTGTCCAACGGGTATCGCTCATCGCCGGACAACGGACGCCATACAGCCCGGTAGAAGGTAAGAGAGAAACAAGCGGTCCCGCATACGTGCCAGTCCGCCGTGTGCTGGAGGACGCTGTTGTGTGTAAAGGA